CCCCCTCCAAGAGACCCCCAGGAAGCCCCAAGAGGCCCCCACGAGGCTTCCAAGCGGCCCCTAAGAGCTTCCCAAGAGGCCCACAAACTACCCCCAAGAGGCCCCCAAGAGCGCTCGTCGTCGTCGTCGTCGTCGTCGTCGTCGTCGTCGTCGTCGTCGTCGTCGTCGTCGTCGCCATTTAGGGTCGGCGGCACCGGCCGTAAGGCCTTCGCAATATGCAAATACTTTGATTGTGCTGGGCGCTAGCGGTATCGCTCGGCGGTCCTCCCCCCCTCTGGGATTTCTTCTCTGATTTTTGTGTTGCAGATGCCGAAGGGGCTCGGGGACCTTCTGACCCGGGTCAATCCAAACCTGGGTCAATCAAGCCCTGCAGAATCCTGCAAGACCCTGCAAGATCCTGCACCCAAGCCCACACCCAAGCCCGGGTCAATGCGACCCTGGCTCTGCAAGATCCTGCAAGATCGGGCGCTCTGGCTGACCCCCGTTTGCAATGACCCCCGTCTCAAGGCTCCCGAGGGGGATCGTTACCTGGGTCTCCGGGTAAGCAGTTGCCAACAAGCCAGCGAAGCAACATACCACCGCCGCTCCCGGCCGGGCGCGCAAACATGGATTAGCGATCCAAAATTGCGGCACGTTCCCGGCCGGGCGCCTCTCGCGGGGGCCGCGCCGCCGAGCCCGAGCGTCGCGGCGCGGAGGCCCTCGCCGCCGCGCCCGCCCGCCCGCCCGAGGCACGCGCGCCGCCCCCCTTCGGAGGCCTGCGACGCCTCTGCAGCGCCTCCGCGCTCGCACCTCTGACGACGTGCGGAACGCTTGGGGCGCGGAGCTGAGTGCTGCACCGGAAACAGATCGTGGCCATGGCTCGCCAAGTGTGTCACAAAAGGCGGCTGGAGGGTCTTCCCCCTGAGCCAACACCTCGCTATGCGACGCCGCGGATCCGTGCAGCTCTATAAGGACTGGACGGGATGAGGAGGACCATGCTGGCCATCACCAACCTGGCAGCCGTGCCCCCAGAAGGGGCAACATTTCAAAACTGTGACTCCGTGACTCCCCAGAATGGGCAGTATTCAAACATTATGCACCCAGTCTGCCGCAAAAAGCACGTACGGGCATGTGCGCAGGCTCCTGGGCGCAGCCGTGCGTCAGCCAAGAGCGCGAGACAGGTGGAACAGTACATATCGTGAAGGGGCAAATGGATCTAAGCACCCGTTTGTTCTGTTACCGGCCTCTTGGTCCCTGGTCCTCCCCCGCACCGGGGGGAACCCCAGCAAGACCTCCCTCGATATCACCTTCAAGCGTAACACCGGGGTCACGAACATGTGCCCCCGAGAATCCCGAATAAGGGAGGCCACGGTCCGCACATGCCCGCACAGGCCGCTGACCCTCAGGGATTAGCAAGGCTGGCAACTGTAGTTCGGCCTGACAACTTTGCTTCAGCCTGTAATCCGCGCCTCACGTCGAGGCATTGATGTGCGTCTCTGAGAGTGAATCACTTCTCTGGGAGTCTCAGGATCGAGGATGGAGGCTCGATCGAGGATGGAGGTGCGATCGATGGTTTGTCGATGGTTCCCCATACAAGTTGTTCAATACTTTCGAGTGTATTTCATGTTTTTTGGGGGTGGCGTTGCATCGTATGAAAACCGTGTCTCAGGGCTGTCTCATGGATCCGGACTGTCTGGGGGAATCTTGAGACCTCTCCTGGCCACTGGGCTTCCTTATGCATCCTGCTCCCGCCGCCCCCCGAGGAAATCCGCCGACCCTGTCGGCGTGTGCGAGGGGCTTGGCTGTTCGAGTCGTCGTCTCCGTCGGTCGTCGCCTCCGTCGTCCCCTTTCCCTGCAGCTTCCTTCTCAAGCTCGTGAGCGAGAGAAAAATATAGCAGTGTCGTAATCGAGTCGAAGGGAAGTCCCTTTCCCTTCCCCAGGGGGGGGGGTCTCGGGGGGGTCCCGGGGGGGGTCCCGGGGGGGGTGGGGGGGCAGATTCGTTTTCCCTCGGGCGGCCTAGAAACTTCGAAAACACTCCAAATGAGGTCCGAATGCCCAAGATGGCCCCCGAGACGGCCCAAGAGGGCCCCGAGTCGCCCAAAGATCGGCCGAAAACGCCCACGATAGCCCCAAGACCGTCCAAGAAGCCTCCAAGACGTCCCAGGCCCCCTCCAAGAGACCCCCAGGAAGCCCCAAGAGGCCCCCACGAGGCTTCCAAGCGGCCCCTAAGAGCTTCCCAAGAGGCCCACAAACTACCCCCAAGAGGCCCCCAAGAGCGTCGTCGTCGTCGTCGTCGTCGTCGTCGTCGTCGTCGTCGTCGTCGTCGTCGTCGCCATTCAGGGTCGGCGGCACCGGCCGTAAGGCCTTCGCAATATGCAAATACTTTGATTGTGCTGGGCGCTAGCGGTATCGCTCGGCGGTCCTCCCCCCCTCTGGGATTTCTTCTCTGATTTTTGTGTTGCAGATGCCGAAGGGGCTCGGGGACCTTCTGACCCGGGTCAATCCAAACCTGGGTCAATCAAGCCCTGCAGAATCCTGCAAGACCCTGCAAGATCCTGCACCCAAGCCCACACCCAAGCCCGGGTCAATGCGACCCTGGCTCTGCAAGATCCTGCAAGATCGGGCGCTCTGGCTGACCCCCGTTTGCATTGACCCCCGTCTCAAGGCTCCCGAGGGGGATCGTTACCTGGGTCTCCGGGTAAGCAGTTGCCCACAAGCCAGCGAAGCAACATACCACCGCCGCTCCCGGCCGGGCGCGCAAACATGGATTAGCGATCCAAAGTTGCGGCACGTTCCCGGCCGGGCGCCTCTCGCGGGGGCCGCGCCGCCGAGCCCGAGCGTCGCGGCGCGGAGGCCCTCGCCGCCGCGCCCGCCCGCCCGCCCGAGGCACGCGCGCCGCCCCCCTTCGGAGGCCTGCGACGCCTCTGCAGCGCCTCCGCGCTCGCACCTCTGACGACGTGCGGAACGCTTGGGGCGCGGAGCTGAGTGCTGCACCGGAAACAGATCGTGGCCATGGCTCGCCAAGTGTGTCACAAAAGGCGGCTGGAGGGTCTTCCCCCTGAGCCAACACCTCGCTATGCGACGCCGCGGATCCGTGCAGCTCTATAAGGACTGGACGGGATGAGGAGGACCATGCTGGCCATCACCAACCTGGCAGCCGTGCCCCCAGAAGGGGCAACATTTCAAAACTGTGACTCCGTGACTCCCCAGAATGGGCAGTATTCAAACATTATGCACCAAGTCTGCCGCAAAAAGCACGTACGGGCATGTGCGCAGGCTCCTGGGCGCAGCCGTGCGTCAGCCAAGAGCGCGAGGCAGGTGGAACAGTACATATCGTGAAGGGGCAAATGGATCTAAGCACCCGTTTGTTCTGTTACCGGCCTCTTGGTCCCTGGTCCTCCCCCGCACCGGGGGGAACCCCAGCAAGACCTCCCTCGATATCACCTTCAAGCGTAACACCGGGGTCACGAACATGTGCCCCCGAGAATCCCGAATAAGGGAGGCCACGGTCCGCACATGCCCGCACAGGCCGCTGATCCGCAGAAAACCTAATTTTATCGACCGCGGCCCCGCCAAGAGCGTTCCTGGGGTGGGCTGGCATCCCCCGAATCGCGCGGCCGTGACGATCGGACCCAGTTCCGAGGACCCCAAGATTTGTCAGGCGAAACGGGCCAGAGTGCCTCAAGTCAGGGCATTTCGGAGCCCAGGGTTTCGAGGATGTCTCAGGCGAAACGGGCCTGAGCACCTCGAGAACCGCATCTTGGAACCAAGAGCTGGGATGATGTCTCAAGCGGAATGAATGGGCTAGAGCACCTGACAGAAGTCAGGGCATCTCGAAGGGGTTCCGAAGATGCCTCCATCGTAACGGGCCTGAACACCCCGCGAACCGCATCTTGAAACGCAGAGTCGTGAGGGGATCTCAGGCTAAACCGGCCAGAGCACCTCAAGTCAGGGCATCTCGAAGGGGTTCCGAGGGAGTCCGAGGATGTCTCAGGCGACACGGGCAGAGCACCTCAACAACCACATCTTGAAAATCATATTGTGAGGAGGTCTCAGGTGAAACGGGCCAGAACATCTCAAGTCAAGGCATCCCAGAACCCAAGGTTCCGAGGATGTCTGAGGTGAAACGGGCCAGAGCCTCTGTGGGGCATGCACCGAGCTCTTTTGAAGGCAATCCCTCCCTGGCACTTCCCTGGCACCGCCGTTGGGGCTGCCGGGGTCGCCTGGGGCTGCCCCTGGCGACCCAGGCACCCGGGCTCAGGTGCCCTGCCCCCCCCCCCCCCCGCCAGCCAAGGAAAGCCCTGGAGGGGTCCAGAACAGCCTCATAGAACGCAAAAGTGGGCAGCGAGGACCATGCAGCTCTGATAACACACACGCCCACCTCCCAAACCGGCCATTCGAGACATCCCCGCACTTTGGGCGCGAACAGACCCGTGAACACACTTCGTCGGCAGAACACCAGCCGGTATCACAAGTCACGATCGAGCCGAGTCCAGCCTTGGCGACGAGGATTGCATGGAAAGCATCGACAACACAAGTACTTGTCTGACTGTACTGCGAGCACTATGATTCATCCTCCTATTCCTCCTCCTCCTCATTCTCCTACGCTCCTCCTCCTCCCCCTCATTCCCCCTCCTCCTCCTCCTCCTCTTCCTCCTCCTCTTCGAACTGCTCCTCAGCAGTTGATCAAAATTGCGAGGACTTGGAACGCTGACTTAAGCGAAACGGGCCGGCTCAGCTTGAAAGTTCGAGTGTCTCGACGCGCGGGACCTTCGAACAACACTCGATCTTACCACAACCCTGCCCCCCTGCACCGGCCGGGCAACCCGGGAACACTCCACAACATAACCTTTATATGACGGCAACCAACGAGAACCTCCCATTTAGTGAGCGCCCACAACTATGGGTTTCGGAACCGAGGCACATTTCGCGCAGTGCAGCAGACTATCATAACAAAGACGTATTGAATTTGCCTGCTGGTTGGGGCCCACACGTTGCTGATACACACACAACACGCTGCCTCAGTCCTTGAGACCGAACAGCATGCTCTCGACCTTCTCGAACGCCGCCTCGCCGTCGAGGCTGTTGAGATCGACGTCGAAGCCTTCGTCAAGCTCTACCATCAGAGGGAGCCACCGATACATCAAACACATCTGCACGATGATAGAAGCAGAAATAACGGCGCAAGCATCAACTTTCGGAGGTCCGCAGGTACTTCTTGGATCGGCGCTGGACTCCCCTCCATGGCGCGCGGACCGCGCCAGGGGCGGCGCCGTTAAAGGAGCCCAACGCCGAACCAAAAAATCCGCGCGGCCCCTCGAAAGGTTGTGCTTGTGCTTGTGCCCGGTTTTCTTCTTCGGGATGAGCTCCTCTTCCGTCGGATCGTCCAGCATCCTGAAGGTCTTCGTCCTGACCTTGACCTGGTAGCCGCCGACGGTTCCCTCCCACGACATTCGCCTCCCACTGCCCCTGCTCTCAAAGCTCTTCACGCTCGACACAGACAGCGACGACCGCGTCGACCCCTTCGAGCCCTCGCACGCGCTCGCCGTCGCCTGCAGACTGCCCGGGCAGATCTCCTGGAGGAAGAAACCCTGTAGAAACCAACACACATTCGGAGGTCCGCAGGGACCTTCGAACATGTATGTTTATACAGTCTTTCTTTCTTCTGTTTTCCTCGTTAGCCAGGCCCTGGACTGCAGCATACTGCATCGTCGCGGCCATCGTGCCGTACCGCTCAAAGTGTGAGTCCCCCACGGATAGGATGTTCTTCCAGGACTGCCCCTCGTACTGGGAATAAACATCGCTCAGAACCTTGGAGATGGCCCTGCCCTGCGGTTCAGACTGGATCTATTATGGCAAACACGACCGCCTGGAATCTCAAACAAATCTTCCAGCGAATCTCCGATCTCCATTAAATCTCCCCGCGAATTTCAAACAAATCGTGGCACCGTAAAAACCTTCTGGCGAATCCCCAAAGAACCTCGCGCCTTCAGATCTTCCAACGAATCTCCAAACAATCTTGGCGCCGTAGACATCTCCAACGAAATCTTCGCCGGACATTTTTCCGTACAAGATGTTCTGGAGATTTATGTACGCCTGAGATTTGCCGTGGATTTGCGGGAGTTCTTCCCGAGATTTCTGCACGCCGGAGACTTTCCGGAGAGTTCCCTGGAGATTTTCAGGACATTCCAGCACCGCGGGGATTTTCCAGATAATTCCCTAGGGATTTGTAGCCCTCAAATTTTCGAGAGATTTCCTTGGACATTTCAGAACTCAGAGATTTTCCGGAGACTGTGGGAATGCCCACATACAATTCGGATACTCCTCAACAGGACTGCATGATATTGTTTCACCGAGGGGGCCCTGGCCGCGTGTGCCATATCGACCCAATCTAACCTTCGTCTCGGCCCAGAACGTCTCGAATTGATCCTCGGCCATCGAATTCACCTTATTGTGCTCAATCTGCTCGCCATCCCGCGCGTACACAATCTGGATACCGAGCTTCTTGATGAGCTCGCCCATCCCAGGGTAGAAATTCCTGCAGGAATCGGTGACCCACGGACTCCTGGCCAAAGTCACTATGACGACCTTCCCGCGCTCGTCCGCCAACTGGAGGAGCCGTCCAGCGGCGCACGCGGCTCTCGCTAGAGCGGTCTGGACACGTACCATCTTCCGGGGACTGAGCGCCTGGTCCTTCAGACCATGATTGATGGAGAGGCCCAGATCGTGCTTGACGTATGTGGTTGGGAACAGCGTGTCGTCCCAATCGAATATGATTGCCGTCTGCGTCTTCTCCGCGTACTGCGTGTACGAGATCTTCCGGTCAAACGGCGAGATGTGTCGAGTAAACGGCTCGACTGGTGTTTCCGTCTGGTGTCCTCTCTTAGCGCGGCCCCCGAACAGAGTCCTCATTGCCTCCATGGCGGAGTGAACCATGCCAACGTTCGCCAATCCGTCGTCCCCTCCAAGCGACCCCGGGATGGCGCCGCACGGCTTGCAGAGCACGCCCTTCCTGCCGATGCTGCAGTTGTTGACCTGCCCAGACTCGTACCAATAAACCGTGCAGTCCCCTGCGACTATATCGATGGCAGATATTATCCCAGGTTTGCCCACGCCGCCGTCCACGTCCCCCTCTGACCACTCCTTGGGGTTACGAACGACCAACATGTTGACCCGTGCACTCTTTGTGGTCACGACCGTGCCTGGCTTCAACGTAGGCAGAGTCTCCCGTACGGACTTCATGTGATTCATTGTCAGTCGTGCCGCGGGTCTCCGGCTCCCCGTGCTGTCGTTGCTGCCGGTGCTAGGATGTCGGGCCAAGGCTCTGGGTATAACTCCTGCCTCGCTGGCCGCGCTCTTCCGCTCATCGTGCCGGCAATGGCCGTCAGAGGATAGGCCAGATTCTGCCGGGCAAGTCGACAGCGTTTCCTGTGACCCGATCTGGCTTTCCTCTGTCGGATGTATGCGCCGCTTCTCTTTTGACCAGATGCGTGGTCCTCGCAGATTGTGGAACGACTTCATCGCAACCTGGCCATGTTCGCGGTGGCAGTCGCGAAGGCGCGGCAGCAAAACTGTCCACGCCCTGCTCCTGAGAAGGTGGGAACAGGCCCTGATAGAACCAACACCTGAGCTCAAACGACCTTGAGCTTGTAAATGACAGGACGACGGTTTCCAAAACACTGCATGTCCATCACAATGTCCCCTGGCACGTGGTGGAACGTGCTCGGGATGCCTGAGATTTCTGAGGACCCATTCCTCTTGACCGCGCCCACCCGCTGGCAGTGTCCCCACGCCTTCTTCCGACCGTCCTCAACTGCCCTAGGGTTGGCAAATACACTCCCAAGATAAATAAGATAGCCTAAGGGTAAGGGGGCCCAACATACTTCCAAGACGGCCCAATGACCCTCCTATACGCCCCAAGAGGGCCCACGCAACTCCCGAGAAATTCTAGGAGGTGTTCAAGAGGCTCGGAAAGATCCCCAAAACGCCTTGCACGTGATTTCAGGAAGAAGCCTCTGATATGCCCCACGCATGTTAAAACACTTGTTTTGCACATGGCTTTGGCTTCACACCGCTATGCGCCTGCAAGAAGCCAATCAAACGGCCTCAAAGAGGCCCTGCGCGGTCCCCAAATGGCACAAAGCGGCCAGACGGCACCAAGACTGCCTAGGACAGACCCAGGGCGGCCTCAAGACGTATGCTAGACGGTTCCAGGACACTCGAACATGGCCTCAATAATCCTCAAGCCACCTCGATGCAACCCTGCAAAGATGGCGGAATTTACAGCGTACAAATGGGTACTGCACGTGACGTTGTTCAACATGCCACTAGACTGGTGGACGGAGATGGGTTAGAGCGGTTCCTCTTCTTACCGTAACCCACATTATACTTCGGAAAAAAAGCTTTATCCTTCCCCACCCTACATACCTGAATCTGGACGGAGGGTTTCGCGGGTAGTTAGAGCGTCCAAGATGGCCCTGAATGGCTTCAGATGACCTCCAACAACATGGCACACGATAGTTGAGGATGGCTCAAGATGGCCTTCGAGATGTGTCCAAGATTCCCTAAGACTGTCCAAAACGTCTACGAGTGGTCACGGAGCCCCCTCAGGGCGCTCCTGAGAAGCCCAAATCTTTCCCAAACCTAAGGGTAGCAATCCGCCCACCCCTTGTGGGTCTCCAGGCGTGTGAGATTGCTCCCCCCCATAACCCCCCCCAAGGACCCCAAACCGAAGATTTGACCACCCCCCGGCCCCGGACGAACGCGCCATGGGAGCATAGAGGGCCCCAAAACGGGCCAAGAGGGCCCCAAGTGGGCCCCAAGACGATCCAAGAGGGCCCCGAATCGTCGAATGATCGTTCCAAGACGCCCAAGATGGCATCCAGACGGCCCAAGATGCCTCCAAAACGCCGCAAGAGGCCTCAAAGAGGCCTCCCAAAAGGCACCGACGAAATTTGCCCCATTCCGCTAGGATAACGTATGTTTTAAACAGATTCGTCTCTTGCGCTTTCATACCGTGCAAGACGGCCCAAAAGACCCCTGGGACTAGGACAGCTCCAAGACGGCCCACAAGGGTCCCAAGACCGCCAAAGAAGCCCCGATGACGGCCCCAGAGGGCCCCCGGACGGCGCCAAAAGGGGGTCCACGGGGGGAACCCGAATCCACATTTCCAGCCTTCGGCCCCAGGACGCCCCCAGGTTACCTCAAGAAGCCCCCAACACGCCCCAAGAAACCCACAGGGAGCCCGAACAGAGCCCCCAAACGCCCCCAAGAACCTTCCAGGAATCGGACAAGCCTTGTGGAATGCAGTCCTGGACGCGCAGTAGTTTGTGGAGGGGTCGCCGGATGTGGCGTAAGCCTATCGGGTCCACGCCCGGAGGTGACGTGCTGAGCGGCAGCTTTTTTCTGCGGAGGCGATAATGCAACGTATCCAATGTGTCCAATGACTGCATACTTGCAACGTGTTGTATTGTGTTACATTATTATGTCTCCCCCCCTAACCCCCCCCAGGGGCCACGCCACTTCCGTCGACCCAAAGGTGGCGGACCCCTTCTGGGCTTCAAAAACATCAAAAACCTATGAGAAATCAACAAATTCGGCCTCTTGGGCCTCTTGGGACCCCAAGAAAGTTTCAAGACGGCCCAAGATGGCCCCAAGACAGCCCAAGACGGCCTCAAGACGGCCCAAGATGGCCCCAAGAGGGCCCATGAGGCCCCCAAGAAAGTCCAAGAGGCCCCCAAGAAGACTCCCGAGAGCGCCTCCGGAAATCCAAATCTTTGATTCTCCTATAGTTCTGGGACAATGTCAACGTTTTCGCCTTTTTCGGCTCTCAGAGGGCCATGACGGCCCAAGCAGCCTCCAAAAAGGCCCCCAAACGGCCCAAGAGGCCTCCAAGGGGGCCCCAACACGGCCCAAGAGGGCCCCGAGACGGCCGAAAAAGCCCTCACGACGGCCCGAAAAGACCCGATACGGCCCCAGAGGACCCCAAGAGAGCCCCAAGGCGGCCGCGAGAGGCTTCCAAAGTGGCCTCCGAAGTGGCCAAACGGCGTAAGAGCGCCCAAAGACGGCCCAAGACGCCCCCAAAAAGCCCCAAGAGGCTCCAAAGAGGCCCCCCAGAGGCTCAAACAAAACCCTAAGAAGCTTCCAAGAAGCTCCCAAGAGACTCCCAGGAGGCCCCACAACGACTGGACTGAACGTGCTCTGAAACACCCTGCAGAGTTTTCTGCGAAGGCGATAATGCAACGTACCCAATGTATCCAATGATTGCATAATTGCCACAGATCGCATTGTGTTACATTATTAATTATGTCTCTCCCCCTAACCCCCCCTCTGGGAGCTGCGCCACAGGAGCGGACCAAAGTGCCCCCCCCCCTCTTCCTCCCGGGGCTCAAACACCTACCAAAACCTATAGAAAATCCATGATTTCGACTTCTTGGGCTTCTTGAAGGGCCAAGAGGGTGCCAAGACGGCTCCATATGGGCTCTGCGCGGACCAAGACAGCCCCGAGACGGTCCAAGACGGCCCCAAGAGGGCCCCAAAAACCCCACTGACGGCCCAAAAGGGCCCCAAGAGCGCCCACAACTGCGCCTCCAGAAGCCAAAATCATTGATTTCCTTTTGGTTTGGCAAGATTTTAGCGTTCTCGCCTTTGCGGCCCAGGCAGCTTCCCAACTCGCTCCTGAACAACCCAAAAAGCCCCCAAGAGGGCCCCAATACTGCCCAACAGAACCCCACAACGGCCCAAAGAGGCCCCCAAGACGGTCCAAGAGGCCCCTATGACGGCCCAAGAAGACCCCAAGACGGCCCCAAGGCGGCCGCGAGAGGCCACCAAGACGGCCTCCGAAGGGGCGAAACGGCGCAAAAGCGCCCCAATACGGCCAAAGGCGCCCCCAAGAGGCCCCAAGAGGCCCCCAAGAGGCCCCCAAGGGGCCCCCCAAAAACCCGAAGAGGCCTCCAAGATGTCCTCAAGAAGCCTCCCAAAGGCTCCAAAGAAGCCCCCCAAAGGCCACACAGCGACTGGAGTGTAATGTCATTTTTCCACCCTGCGCGAACTGCGGCGCAGCGCCAGCCAGGTGGAAGTTGGTCACAGCGGCGCCCATGATTAGAGCCGGCGCTGGAAAGAAATATGGGGAGGGAGTATGAAAAGGAGTGAGGGGGGAGAGGCCCCCCAAAAGTCCCCAAGAGGCCCAAGGAAGCTCCCAGGAGGCCTCAAGGAGGCCCCCAAGAGGCTCCGCGACGACGTGACTGTACGTGCTCTGGACGTGCACCCCGCGAAGCGAGAGGAATCTCTTTTCCTGTGACTCGCTCGACAACCACCACCACCACCACGCCGCCCAGGCGTCGTGCTCTCCCTCTCCCAAGGATCAGCACGTGAAGCCTCCAGAACTCCGACGCTACGATTCTTGTCATCGCATGGACCACTTGAGGACTCGGCCCTCTCCCTGGAACCCGCTTCTCGTCCCGGACCGTTCTTTGACGGTTCCGGGGCCCAGTGACGGCCCGCAGGAGCCAAAAATTCACCCAAAACCTCCCGCCGCGATTTCTGTGCCACGCAAGACAATCTGAATCTCTTAGAGAACGCGTTTCGCGGAGACTTGCTTGGGAAAAATCTCGAGCCACGTCAAACTAACCGGGGGGTCTCAGACGGGGCTAGGACGAGGATCCGCCGGCCCCCTTGTGGAACCACCAGGCTGTAGGACGAAGGTTCGCAGTTTCCTGTACCAGTTGCAGCTTCTAGTTTCCACTGTTACAGTTCTGCTTCTTGCTGCTTACTGTTCCTTGTTACAGTTCTGCTTCTTGTTGCTTACTGTTCCTTGTTGATGGGCCGCGCGAGGGGGGAGACCCAAAACGGCAATTTTTTCCACGCCCTGAGCGTGTTGTCTGAATTGCTGGGGTGGGTGAAAATTAACACGCCTCACGCAGATCGGCGGGGTCAGGGTCCAAAAACACAAGGGATTTGCCACATGTCTGAAATTCGGTGGCACTCCTCACGCAGATCGGCGGGGTCAGGGTCCAAAAACATAAGGGATTTGCCACATTTCTCATATTCGGTGTCACCCCTCACGCAGATCGGCAGGGTCAGGGTCCAAAAACACATGGGATTTGCTACATGTCTGACATTCGGTGTCACCCCTCACGCAGATCGGCGGGGTCAGGGTGCAAAAACAACATTTCTGAAATTCGATATTACCCCTCACGCAGATCGGCGGGGTCAGGGTGCTAAAACACAGCAGATTTGCGACATTTCTGAAGTTCGGAGGCACCCCTCACGCAGATCGGCAGGGTCAGGGTCCAAAAACATAAGGGATGTGCCACGTTTCTGAAATCCGGTGTCACCCCTCACGCAGATCGGCAGGGTCAGGGTCCAAAAACACATGGGATTTGCTACATTTCTGAAATTCGGCGGCACCCCTCACGCAGATCGGTAGGGTCAGGGTCCAAAAACCCAGGGGATTTGCTACATTTCTGAAATTCGGTGGCACCCGTGACGCAGATCCGTAGGGTCATGGTTGAAAAACAAAC